CTCCAGCATCACCCAAACACTGACTCCAGTCAACAAAAACTAACTTCCACCCCGGCAATCATGCTTCAGTCTAAGGATCACACTAGTGTCTCAATAAAACACGACCTAAAGGCTGACATAGTTTACAATGAAGTGGGCAATCCCCCTAATACCTGTAACTCGGAGGTTTATAAGGACCTTCAACAGGGACACTGATGTATGCAGCTTGCTCAGGAGTAAGCTTGGTGAGTTTAGCTCCAAGCTTCCCAAGATGAAGTGCAGCAACCTTTTCATCCAAGTGCTTGGGCAACACATAGACTTTCTTCTCATACTTGCCTGTTCCCCTCTCCTCCCAGAGCTCAAGCTGTGCAATCACTTGGTTTGTGAATGAGCAAGACATCACAAAGCTAGGATGCCCGGTTGCACAACCCAAATTCATGAGACGTCCCTCAGCAAGAACAATAATACCCCTATTAGTCTCTGGTAAGACCCATCTATCAGTTTGAGGCTTGATAGTAATCCGCTTGATACCCGGGTAAGTCTCCAGGCCAAGCATATCAATCTCATTATCAAAATGACCAATGTTACAGACAATCGCATTGTTCTTCATCTGCTTCATGTGACAAACCATGATGATATCCTTATTTCCTGTGGTGGTCACAAAAATGTCAGCCTCAGCAACAACATCCTCTAGAGTCAAAACCGGAATGCCTTCCATTAGGGCCTGAAGAGCACAAATCGGATCAATTTCCGTCACAATCACACGGGCACCAGCTGCCTTAAGAGCAGCAGCACAACCCTTGCCAACATCTCCATATCCACAAACAACAGCAATTTTTCCAGCAATCATTACATCAGTAGCTCTCATGAGACCATCAGGAAGCGAATGTCGACATCCATACAAGTTATCAAACTACATATAACACCAAAACAAAAAATATGGTCAACCAAAGTTCAAGATTAATAATGTCATGCAAAAGCAAATAAATTTACAGTCTGTAACCTCTTCCAAAAATTTAGGGATGATAGTCAAACATGCCACTATATTATGGGTCAAGGTACTCCAAACTAGGCATATACTTTCAATTATGTTGATTTTATGATAAAAAAAATGATGAAATTAATAAAACTTTGCCACATATATTAAGGAAATTAAAATCAATGACAACATTGAATACTAAACCATAATAAATTGACAAATTTGACCTTTTATCTCAAAAAGTAAAAATGCTTACCTTACTCTTTGTAACAGAATCATTAACATTAATGGCAGGGAATAGAAGAGTGCCATTAGCTTGCATTTGGTACAATCTTTTAACTCCAGTGGTAGTTTCTTCTGAAACTCCAACTAATCTTTCCCTCATCCTTCTATATTTTTTGGGGTCCACCAACAGCCCTTCTTTAATGATACTCAAAACGATCCGAAACTCTGCGTTTTCAGTCTCATTCGGGTTTGGCAACTTCCCGCTTCTCTCGTACTCCTCCTCCGCCTTAACACCTTCGTGAATTAGCAAAGTGGCGTCCCCGCCGTCATCGACGATCAAATCGGGTCCGCCACCGGGGCCCCAGTCGAGAGATTTCTCGGTGCACCACCAGTATTCTTCCAGGGTTTCTCCTTTCCAGGCAAAGACGGAGGCCGAGTCGCGGGCAATGGCGGCGGCGGCGTGGTCTTGAGTGGAGAAGATGTTGCAGGAACACCAGCGGACTTGGGCACCAAGGGCGGTTAAAGTTTCGATGAGGACGGCGGTTTGGATAGTCATGTGGAGGGAACCGGTGATGCGGGCGTCTTTGAGGGGTTGGGTTGGGCCGAACTCGGCACGGCAAGCCATGAGGCCTGGCATTTCGACCTCGGCTAGCTCTATTTCGAGGCGGCCGAAGTCGGCTTGGGAAATGTCCTTGACCTTGTACTCGCGGCCGGTTGGGGTTCTGGAAATGGTGAGGGCCATGTCTTGGGTTGGGTTTTAGGGTTTGGGCGGTGGGGTAGAAACAAACGGTACAGAATCTAGCGACAGACGAGGGAGAGAGGGACAAGCAAATCTAGGGCTTTTGTTTTAACCGGTAAGTTCTACCAACTTTAAAATCGAATACACGACGACGTTTGGAATAAAGGTCGGCAAGCTAAGCTAATATGATAGTATGTAGCTCTCATGCATTATTAGGAGATCAAATGGTGTTACTTCACTAAAAAGTTAAATTTTAAATTTTTTAAAATTTAAAAATAAATATTATTATTTTTAAAAGAATAAAAATAATTTTTTTCTTCAAGTCTAATCTCACTCAATTTCTCTTTTTTTTAAAAAAAAAAATTTTATATCCTATTATTTTTAGTAAGAATCATGCATCAATCGAAAACTCAAATATTCGAGTGCCTTTTCTTCTTCTCTTGTTGTTCTTATTATTTTATAATTTTAAAATTTTAAATTCTTAATTTGAATTTTTAAAAATAATATTTATTTCAATCTTCTTCTTAGTTTATCATTTTTGATATATTGTGATTATTTATTCAACACTTTTATTTTATTAACAAAACAGACTTTTTGAACATTTGAAACTCAGATTGTGAAGATATTCTTTTGAAGTTTCGATGTGATAATCTTGCGAGACTCATGCTGTAAAGAAGAAAAATGGATTTTTGTTTAGTGCTGTTTTTTGGATTCATCTATTCATAGATCTAAAGAGAAATTGTGCTCGCTAGATTTTTGTTTCACACTGTATAATCTCCAACAAACTTGGAATGTCATCTTTGAGTTCTACAGAGTCTTTGTGTGCTATTTTCCCAAATGGCTATTATATTTGTTTATTTCATTCAAAAGTTAACTATTGTTGAATAAATAAAAGATTTTAGTGCATTATCTATTATCATTTTTTGAAAGTAACTTCAAATAGAAGAGTGAAATAAATATTAAAATTAAATTAAGAATTAAGAATTTTACTTTTAAAAAAAATTAGGATTTTGAATCTATTGTTGTCAAAAGTAAAAGAGGAAGAGATTGAATAAGAGAGAGTTAGAGAGATAAAAAAATGTTTATCTTTTTTATATTTTTAAAATTAATAAGGTACTGCAATTCCTTCCAAAGCTCCCAGCTTTAGTTTGTTTTCCTGTTTTTTTAAGATTTTAATTGTCTCTTCAGTCAGTTGTTGCAAACTTTTTTGTACTGTTTTGTTTATTATTATTATTATTATTATTATTATTATTTTGCTGCTATTGGGTAAGGCAAATCTACACATTCATAAAAGACAGAAATTTGAAATTTGGGGGAATCGATTTTTTTTTTTTGGGTTTATTCTGACGGATTATTATTATTTTATTGTATAAGGGAGGAAATCATACCGGAGATGGAATCAGTACGCCACCAGACAACGTTCTCCTTTACGGTCTATCTCTCATGACAATGAAAGAAGCAGCAAGAGCATGTGTTCTCTCCCACCGCTGGAAAAAGCTTTGGACTTCTATCCCGAGTTTGAGTTTTGATGGTTCAATGACACTATATGACTACGAAGCACGGAACAACAATTAAAAGGCAAATTTAGCTTTAGATACAAAACTTGGGTGAATTCTTTCCTGGAATTATACCAGGGTCCTGCTGTAGATGAATTCAAGATTCGATTTGATTTGGATCAACGCTACAGGTGTGAAATTGATGACTGGATTTGCTTTGCTTTAAATAAGAAAGTTAAATGGCTTGTGCTGGACTTGAGTGATTATTCTGGCTTCAGCAAAACTGCTATCATTTCCCCCTATTGCTTAATAGTAGTTCCATCAGGAGGTAAAACAAGTAAATGTCAGTGGGGAAAGCCTTGAGTACTTTATATCCATTTGCCAGTTTCTTGAACGCATAGTTGTTAAGGGTTCTGATTCTCTTATCAATGTGAAAGTTCCCGGTTCATCACTTCACTTGAAGTATCTAGAGATAACTTACTGCTTCAACGTTAATAGTTTGGAATTTCGTGAATGGCCTTTCTTAAGTTGCCTGAGGCTTTTGGAATTGATAGTTGAAGCATCTGATGATGACAGCCTACTCACTTTCTCTTATCTGATAAATTTATCTCCTTACTTGTATAGATTGGGACTGCAGGTTAGCTTTGTTACGTCACAACCGGTAAATACGACATTCTTTGGTTAATTGGTTGACTTTAGAATGATGCTACTGAGGCTTGTTCTTACGTTTTCATCTTCATAGGACCTTTGTTCTTTCTACCAAGCATTTGAGGTGAACTAGTCATTAGCATCAACTATGGTGTAACCTAATTCAGAGAGGGGTTTTTCTCAATGGCTTTCTGGTTGAATGAAAAATTAGGCAATTACATATCATCACCATTTGCTATGTATTTCTTTTTTCTTTTTTTGTTGGCATTAAAGTTGATTTCATTACTTCATAATGTGTACCAGTATACACTATCAGCTTTGTTTATGTTTTGATGACAATATGCAGCACATTCATGCTGGGGATATATATGTCCTACATGAGTGGGCTGCATTAGTTCATGATTTCAAATATGTTGCCATGTAAGTACATGATGCTTTCATTTGCATATACCAGTACTAGTTGAATTGTAAACCTCTAACTAGACACAGAAAGGACACTATTTTTGATCCAATACATGCTGATCTGATTAGAGATACACATTCTAGATACTAGTTGCAATTCAGTGGACTTATTGCATCTTTCTTTGTTATGTCAAAAAAGTACACGTACCTTTAAGTCATCTTTATGGATCAATGTATATTTGCAACTTGTAACCATGCATGACAATTGACAAACATGGTCTTTTGCATCTTGTAGTTGAATTGGCTCACACCATCTGGGAGAGGGATGGCGAAAAGAGTTCCGGAAAGTCCCCATTATTGCCTTAAGGTCGTGGAAATACTTGGCTTTGTAGAAATTTTGACATATATCATCAAGAATGCAGTGATGCTTGAGAAGATTACTGTTGATCCTCCTGAACCAGTCTTGTTGAAAGGGATACGAGCAGCTAGAAATCATGCAGATAGATTCAGAAAAACATACTTTCTTGAAAATAAGTTAGTTAGTAGTCCTGTAATTAGCTAGGGAGCCAATTGCAATGCATTTTACTAGTTTCACTTTATATTCTTAAGCTTTATCATATCGTATGTACGTGCATTTGGATAATGATTTACCAAAAAATTAAAAAGAAAATTAAGCCCTTATATTCTCTATCTCAATTCTTCCAACTTAAGTCATGTTTATGATTCTACATTTCTCGTATAGGAGTTTTAGCTAAAAAAATAAAAAATAAAAACTGGATATGGTTTTGAAACATTTTATTAAGAAATATAGAAATTCAAGATCAAAACAATATTTATTTTTATGTGTGTTGCATATGAATATCTAGTTTTTATTTATTTTCAATATTAATTATATACAAATGCAAATTTTTTAAAAATGTAAAGCTTGAAGTGGAAATAATTCAAATTTTGTAATATTAACTTATAATTATAAAAAAGCTTTTTCTTTAAAAGGTTATTAAATATAATTAGAATTCTTATTTACAAATTGAATAAATCTTATTAATATTTATTAGCAATTTAGATATAAGAATAAACATTATCTCATGTAACTACTGTTTCTACTTCTTAATTTGAATTTAATCCCTGTCTTATACTATCATATAATATCGTAAATATCATTTATATAATAATTAAAATTATTCAAAATGGCAAATGATAATTTAACAACATAATGAAAAAATATTTTAGTCAATAAAAAAATTATTTAAAAAATTTTAAATAGTTCAAAAAAATGTTTAGGTATACCAAAAAGAAGTTTAAGAAAAGAAAAGGGGAGAACACCAAGTTATAAAAAGAAATATTATTGATTGGAATTCCATCATAAAATCAAAAAAAAAATCATATACTGCACGAGTTAATAACTAATTCTACAAATATAAAGAGAAATATCAATACCATTTTAATTAGTTATTTTAAATCATCTTTATTTCTTTTCCTTTTTCCACCAAACTTTACTATTTTTAGTATTGACTGTATTTTTCTTCCATTTTCAATTTATTTCTTCCACAAGTGAAATATAGGAAGAAAATGCAAGAAAATAAAATTCGAAGGTGCCAATTTCTATAACGGAAAAATGGTACTAGTACCAAATTGCATTTCCAAAAAACTCAGGGAACTTTCAATATTTCTTTGTTTAGATATTACCATGATGGAAATGGTACTAGTACCAATTTCCCTCCTGCCTTCCTCAATTTATTTCCCTAGCGAAAAGCCCGGCCCAGACAAACCAGCGTCAAATTCTCGCGGGTTCCAATCCAAGTCTTGGTTTTGCCTAGTGTAGTCTATGGAGAAAAACAATAGAAGCATACGAGTCGAGTGCCGTAAGCTGTTGATCACCCGAAACGAATCGGATCTACAATGGCTAATCGGATCCGCATTTTTCCCTCCACTTACCATCCTCTCCACCTTCAGATGCATCCATTCCGATCCCTCTGGCCCGGACTTCCACAGGGAGTCAGGTAAACAGCAAAAAACTCTTTTTGGAAAATCTAAATTTCAAATTTAATTCAAGTTTTACCAAATTTTCCCTCATTTTGATTCAAACGGGAGCAGAGGAAATCAGGACACTTCTCTTGAAAGGATTCGATGTAATTGGAGCGTTAATCGTTGGAAAATCCGATACCGAAAAGACAGCCGCGAGGGCTATTGAAGCTGCTTGGAAATTGAGAAAGGTTTTATCTGGAAGGACAAATTCGGTAAATGAAGAGACGATAGGAGCTGTTGCCGATCCGGATACCGGGGATATTCGTTTCTTTGTATCGGAGGCTGAGGGTTCAACGAGCCTCGAGTTAACAAATTCTGTTTCGTATGATGAAAATCCTGAGAAATTTGTGTGGGAGACTGGTTGTTTGCTACGCTGCGAAATTCCGATTAAATTGCCCTTCTGTTTTCCTGTAAACAAGCCCTCTGGTAGCCTCTTTTCTGTATCGGATTTGTCCTTATTTAGCTCAAACGATGTTTGCATTTATTCATTTCTTGTTAGTTGCTGAAATTATTAAGTGCTACCTCTATAATAGTGAATGCTTGTCAAATCAGCTATGCAGTTTATGAGGGTGCGAGGTTTATATCCATGTGGATATTTTGTTGGTTGCTGAAATTGTTCAGTTCTGACCTGGAATTTGTTGATAATCCAGTGTTGCTGATGTTTGATAGTTGTTTCTTATGAAATGGGTAGTGCGATATGTAGAGATCATAGTAACAAGGTCTTCAGGGTCGTTGAATTTCAAGGGCAATTAGAGATGATAAACTCAGCGGTTTTAGGTGGAGTTTGTATTTGCTCTATACGTTCATAATCATTTAGTCACTAAGATTAGAGTACAGATGTGGTTAATGAGACAACCTTTAATTTGGAAGGATTTCTTGAGCAGTTTAGCTTGCTGATTGTACCATGTTGGTTGCAGATTTGGATATGAAATTCTTCATGCATAATGCATATGTGCTTGTTGGAAATCTAGCTATCCACAATTAATTTCTTTTTTGCATTCTCTGCTGAGACTTGTTGGATTCTTTTCCTTTCTCATTTTAATGACACAAGATTCATAATGTGCTTCAGAAGTGGAGAATATCTTCTTGCGTGCAGTTGAAGCAGTCATTGCTAAGTTCAAAGATCCAAATGTTGTGTATATGGTGGAGGCATCAAGTAAAGCCTCTTCAGATGTAGTTCAACCTGTCATTCTTCGTGGTGAAGAATTGGATTTTGACACAGCTCTCCCAAACATTGAGCTTTTGGATAAAGCTGTTCATAATTCTGATCAAAAACTTTTACCATGTGCACACTTTTGTTTAAAGAATAAATCTACCCCGGAGTTGTTTTCTGCAGAGGTAAAAGAAATTACCATAGGAATTATTCCATGTCATTATTTTTCAGACAGGGTTGAATTTTTTTTTTTTTTTCATTTGGTAGCTTGTTTTATTCCGCATCCTCTTCATCTACCGCAGTGGCTGTTAGAATTAGTTTTTGTGAAATGTGTTTCTGCTTAGAATGCAGATATAATCCAAATAAGTGTTCTGCTTAATAGATCTGAAAAGTCTCCAAAATGCAAGGCACCTGCTGTAGAATACTTTCCAGGTATTGGCTTCAATTTTAAGACAATTGCTATTCTTGTTTGTTAATTTCATTTAAGCCATTTTTATAATCATGGATTGCTAGTCTAGTTTTTGTCTCACTCACTAAATGCAATTAAATTTTCTTCTATCAGCTATGGAGGAAACTAGACTTTTGATTGTGGATTTCAATCTAGAAGTACTCTGTTATGCAGTCCAGGGCATCCCATTGATGCATGCTGTTTCAAAATTGGTCATCCCTGGGTTAGTTGACCAGTTAAATTCAATGAAGAAGATGACCTTGCCAAATCTGTTAACACAACATCCGCAGGTAATTTTTAAATATTAAATTATAACAGGGTCTGTATGACTCCTTATATCACCTTTAGAAGAAGATAATACATAAGGTTTTCTTTTCCTCCCGCTCCCTTGTGGTGTTTGGTGGTTTGGCCATTGCTGATAATTTGAAATTTTGGGTCATAAGCTCTCCCTTGGGGTTGTCCAATACATCAACTTAGTTGCAGCTTTCCACATTCACCATCTTTTGTCAAGCATCCACTGATTGCCTATTTCTCTTAAGAACTTCTGTAGGACTATAATGGTTCATATTGAGCATCCTCTTTGTATAATTAATTAGGGTCACTGAAATGATTTTATATTTTAGTTCCTCAAGTATTTGGGCTCCGTTTGGTTGATGCTTTTGCTTTTTTCTTCTTTTTTTTTTGTATTCTTTTTACAAATAATGAATAGAAAGCAGAAAGCAAAAAATAAAAATGAAAAGAAAACAGGAGGCAAATAGTAAAAGTATCAACCAAACGGAGTCTTAATTATTTTTTATCCAAAAGTCTTCGTTCTTGAATTTTGATCTTGCTCTGCAAATAACTTGAAACTGATTGCATTTTGCAGCTACATCCATATCACTTTATTCTGCCTGGGATAGCACATCCAATAACTGTTATCTATGAACTTAATTATGGGGAAACAGAAATGAAGCAAGGTACTCATAAAATGTGAACTTTTGTTTCTATTGAAGTGTTCTTGAGTTGTAAGTGGGTTAGCAGCAAATTTTTGCCATATGGAAATTAGTTATTCTAGGGATGTAAAGTTCATTAGTATCAACTAGCACATCCACTACCTTTTCTACTCCAGTATCATATATACAAATAAAGGTACTGCATTCCTTGCCTTCATTGAATAATTTCCGATCTCCTAGAAAGCAGTAACTCTACAGCCAGTTTATATATATTACTCAATAAAACCAATTTTGTCGCTTGCGGGGAAAACAGTGGTTTGTTTCCATGGTGCAATTTCACAATTCAGACAAATAGAGGGCGTGTTGCTGTGAATTCCTTCCCAACCTTCCTCACCAAGAGAAATCTATGCTATTGTTCTACGATTAGTAGTATTAACTTTTACCTATAGAAAAGTCTATGCTGTTTTCTAGGAAGGTTTTGATAAGAAACTAAGCTGCTAGTTCATATCATGGTCTGAAGTGATCTTAATAATGTATAAAAAATTTAGAGTTATGACTTAGATTCTGGACAACATCTTTGTTTCTAATAGTTGTAATTTATGTTTGGCAGTTGATATCAGAAGATCCCTACATCTAAGGTTAGGATTGCCATTTGATCGTCCTCTCATAAGAATTGCCAATGCCCTGGATTTGTCAACAAAAGACCGTTCAAGCAACAGCTCAACTAGAAAGGGTAATTTTTTAAATAAAATATGCTATAGAAATTTAGGCAGTGGCAAGGCATTTGTTTATACCTTCCTTTTTCTTTCTTTATGTTTCTGCTGTGCATTAACTTTGGCAGCTTATGTTTTTGGTAAAATCAGG